GTGATCATTTGGGTAAATGCCCAAAAGTGGGATTGCTGGGTCATAGGGAGCTCTATGTGGAGCCTTGTGAGGAACCTCACATACTACTTTCCAAAGTGGTTGAACAAGTTTACATTCCCACTAACAATGCAGTAAGGTTCCATTCTGTCCACATTCCCTCCAGCATCTGTTGTTATTGTAGCCATTCTAACTGAAGTGAGGTGGTATCTCAATGTTGTTTTGATTTGCATTTCTTTTATGGCTAAAGAGGTTGAGCATTTCTTCATGTGTCTATTGCCTGAGACAAGCAGAAATGGTCAGATAAGTTGATGTTAGGCAAAATGAACCCCAACATAAGGACTCAAATGGTTTTTCTTTCTTGCTATTTTTTCTAACATATTTATAAGATATTTCTTTGTTGCTTTGCATTTCCCTCCCCCATGGCATAACCTCTGTTTCCACTGTATTTGATGTTGATATAATTTGTGGAGGGGAAGGGAAAAAACAAATTATTTAAATAGGAATACAGGTGGACCCATTGCAACAATGAGATGTACAAGAAGTTATGTCGAAAAACGAAATTTACAACTTTGGTGTGGGGAGGAGGGGGGAGGTGGGAGATGGGAAAGGATGGGAAGGGGAAACAAAGGAGAAGACAACAATGCTTGATAAGAAATATACTCATTACGTTGCCCATGTAATTGTAACCCTTCTATATGGTATTTTTACAATAAAAAAAAAGTCAAAACAAAAGAATAGCCATTTGATGGGGCTGGGAAGGTGGCTCAGTGGTAGAGCGCTTGCCTTGCATGCCTGAGGCCCTGGGTTCGAATCCTCAACACCACATAAGCAAAAAGAAAACAGCCGGAAGTGGCGCTGTGGCTCAAGTGGTAGAGCGCTAGCCTTGAGATGAAGAACTGAGGGACAGCGCCCAGGCCCTGAGTTCAGGCCCCAAGACCGCCCCCCCCCAAAAAAAAGAATAGCCATTTGAACATCACTTTGGTGATTCAAATGTTGTAGAATTGCATTTATTCAAATCCTAGCTCAGATTCCTTACCACTTTCAAAGGAATTTCCCAGAAACTATAAAATCTGCTTTGTATTTCTTTAAAACTTTGGGGTGCATATTTTACTTTCGCATTCGCTCTCTCTGCTAAGATTTCCTTTAAGTACAACTACTGTCTCTGCAACAACGATGTATTGTGGAAAAGTTGCAACATTTAAATAGCACAGGTACCACTGGAACTTGTAGAAATACTCAATTCTATATATTTTCTCTTGCATATCATATCAACTTCTAACCTAGTTTTAGTGTACGGTAGGAATGGTCTGTGAGGGAAAGGAAAGAGAAAGGAATCTAAAGTTCTTTCTTTTCAATATATCATTTTCTCAGAGAGAAAAATTGTAGGCATACTTTCCCTAAATATCTCAGTTAAGGTATCCTACTCCCATGAAACTGAGCCATGCCAGGTGCTGGTGGCTCACATCTGTAATCCTAGCTACTCAAGAGGCTGAGATCTGAGGATCATGGTTCAAAGACAGCGGGGCAGGAAAGTCCGTGAAACTCTTATCTCCAATAAACCACCAGAAAACCGGAAGTATTGCTGTATCTTAAGTGGTAGAGTGCTAGCCTTGAGCTGAAGAGCTGAGGGACAGTGCCCAAGCCCAGAATTCAAGCCCCACGACTGACAAAATAAAACAAACAAACAAACAAAAACAACAACAAAAAAACCTGAGCCATGATTGCTGATATCCACATTTAGTAGCTACATTTCTGAACTGGTCTTTAAGGTAGTAAGCTCAGAATTTTAGGAAATTCCTTTGAATGTTAAATATACATTTTCAAGTAAGAAATTTAAGACTTGGTATCAAACTCTGGAAATTAAGGTTATTTAAACGAGCAGTTTTGCATCTTGATAGAGGTAAATTTGTTTTCATTATACAGTTATTGGGCACTGAATTTGAAACATATAAGAATAGTTGTATTGTCAAATGCATGCTCTAGGAAGGCAATAATTTTGTCTTTTTGTGTACTAATTGGCACTCAGTAACCAGAGCAGTAATAGGCATAAAAAAATGCCTATTAAATATTTTTGAATAAGAGCCTGAGCCCTCTTCCATTCATTTGAAATTAGTCACTACTGATAGGGTAAATATCTTTTTCAGGTTGGCAATATTTATATACACTTAAGTGGTAAGAATTACTATATTTTTCAATACAGTTTAGTAGTTCCACTTTTTAAAGCCTCTGAAAGACTTTCACACTGTTTATTTGGTGATTGTATTAAAGGTAGAGTAATACACATTTAGAATGAATTGGGAGGAGATGTAGAATTAGATCACTGATTACTTTTCTTGTACGAACATATTGCAACATATGTGCAATGTTTTTAAAAATAAGTTATATTTTTCTGCCAGTTGAAATAATGTGTAATATCTAAGGATAAGATAAAAATAGACTGGTAGTTTAATTCCAATTGTCATTGTCCCAATTTAGTTTATGTTTGCATTATATTTATAAAATCATACACAAAGATACCAATTAAAAATTGATTCTTTGTGGACATGTGTACATATTATCTCATCTATCTATTGAGTGCTTTTAATCTTACCCTAATTAAGTGAAGTAAGCCAGGCCCAAAGAAACATAGGCCCCATGGTTTCCCTTATTTGCAATATCTAGTATATGTGTGAGTCAAGCAGAAAAGGTCAGATAAGGTGATGTTAGGGAAGTGAACCCTAAGATATGTATTCAAATTTTTTTTCTTTCATGGGATTGTTTCTAATACATTTATAAGATTATTTCTTTGTTGCTTTGTATGCCCCTCCCCCACGGTATAACCCCTGCTTTCACTGTATTTGATATCAGTATAATTTGTAGAGGGGAAGGGGAAAAACAAATCATTTAAATAGGGATACAGGTGGACCCATTGCAACAATGAGATGTATAAGTCGTTATGTCGAAAACAAAGTTTACAACTTTGGTTGGGGGGAGGAGGATGGGGGGGGTGGGGGGGGGAGAATGGGTAGGGATGGGAAGGGGAAACAAAGGAGGAGGCTACAATGCTTGATAAGAAATGTATTCATTATCTTTCCCATGTAATTGTAACCCCTCTGTACAGTATTTTCACAATAAAAAAATCTAAACTATAAAAAAAAAGCTGGTAAGTCACAAGTGACCAAATCTTGAATGTTTCTCTATAATGTAATCCCAATGCTCATCATTGAGCAAATGATGCTATAGGCAAGAGACTATTTCTGTTTTTTACTAGGACAGAGAATCTCTTCCCTCAATATTTCTCACTATTATGTCTCTCTGTATAAAGGGAATGATCTGTTCGACATAGGAATTGTAGTTGGACTACAAATTGAGTATAGAAAATGATAATAATGAAATGTAATTAAAATTATATTAGAAGGGAACCAAAAATTTCTATTTTTATCAGAAGAATTAGAGTACTAAGATTATTTGGAATACATCAAAAAAAACATATAAGGAGGGAAAAGGGAGGAGAGATGATTTTGACTTATTTTATCTCAACACAATATTGTTAAAAAATCTCATTCTGTTCTAAATTTGTTTTACTAATTGCCAAATGATTGTGTGTATTTAAAGAGTACAGTTATGAAGTTATTTTAAACAGTGTATACTTGTAAAAAGATTTGATCAAGTTAAATAGCATGTTCATTGAGAAGCTTATTAATTTGTGGCACGAATGTAGAAAATATATCCTTTTAGGAGTTTTCAACTATACAAAAATAAATTTCTTATGTTTACATTGTAGTCAAACTGTTCTTTGCAGTTGGGTAATTCCTATGTCAGTTTGTAGATGTGAAATCTCATTTTCATATTGGTTTCTTCTGAAATGTATAAACATATATTCTCAGATTTGGAATGACTTCTGGTCCAAATCTTCCACTTAATACTTGTATATGCTCTACTAAATCTGAAGATATAAATACAATGTGAATCTCTAAATTAATGTACCAGTTTCTATGTCTTATCAACATATGCAAAAGTCTGTGATTCACTATCCCCTGAAAGACAAATTATTTACAGTATGATTGAATGTTGGTGTTGATCTGAAAGTTGCCTTCCCATAACTTATACTCATCTTGTTGATCTTATCCAAAGAAAAAAATTCAAATCTCCTCTCCACATAATAATTTTCCCCCTGTTTATGCATTTGTCATATTAACCATTTTCTCAATCAAAGTAGTTCTTGTCTTTAAATCCAATGTCCACAGTTTTTTAATGTAAAAATTTTTTCACCTTTTTCTTCCAGATTAAATTTTGCACTTTCCTGCATAGGTCTGAATATATGGGATATTGTATTAAATATTCTTTGATTATAAAATAATTGCATCTGAAACCCATATTTTAACAAAGTATACTGATTTTCTAAGACTGGAAACCAATTCTTTTATTTTTCCTTAACTATTGAAAGCTATATATTAATGACTTGCATTACCTTTATCTCAGTATATTTAATTTTGTATAGTGTTTGTATAGTGTTTCTGTTGTAGATACCATTATAAATTCCCTATATCACTTTATGATCTGTATGAACAAACTTCTTCCTTTTTTTTTTTTTTTTCGGTGTTGGGGCTTGAACTCTGGGCTTGGTTGCCCGCCTTCAGCTCTTCAACTCATGGCAAGTGCTCTACCGCTTCAGCCACAGTGCTGTTTCCCCTATATCACTTTAAATGACTATAGGTAACTTACTCCCTTTAACTTCTTTCTGTAGGAAATGCCTAATATTTGATTACAGATAAATTGTTATTGGTTTGTCAAATGATTTGATATTTTATATAATGATTTGAACTAAAAACTGAGCACTTAATTAAAATGTATGTTTGTGATTGGTTATCTAATAATTTCTTCTTTTTTTTTTTCCTTCTTCCCTTTCATGTCTTCTCCCCCCTCCTCTTCCTTCTCCTCCCTTTCTCTCCTCTTTCTTTCCCTTCTCTCTGTTAGTGTTCTGTGGGTTGATACGGAGCACCATTACAATCGTGCCTGGTATGGACTTGTTGTCCGGGACGTATATATTTGCGGTCCTGTTAGCATGCGTCGTGTTCCAGTCTGGCGCCCAGGAGAAGAACTACACCATCCGCGAAGAAATGCCAGAAAACGTCCTAATAGGCGACTTGTTGAAAGACCTCAACTTGTCGCTTATTCCAGACAAGTCCTTAACATCTCCTATGCAATTCAAGCTTGTGTACAAGACCGGCGATGTGCCACTGATTCGGATTGAAGAGGGTACTGGTGAGATCTTCACTACTGGTGCTCGCATTGATCGTGAGAAATTATGTGCTGGTATCATGTTGGATGCTCATTGCTTTTACGAAGTGGAGGTTGCTGTTTTGCCGGATGAAATATTTAGACTGGTTAAGATACGCTTTCTGATAGAAGACATAAATGATAATGCACCATTATTCCCGGCAACAGTTATCAACATATCAATTCCAGAAAACTCAGCTATAAACTCTCGATATGCCCTCCCAGCAGCCATTGATCCTGACACAGGAATAAATGGGGTACAAAACTACCACCTAATTAAGGTGAGTTTTTAACGACATCTAAATGATTTTTTTTGTATTTTAAAAGATAAATAGATGAAACTTATGGTACATAAAATCTAAGATGTATGTAACAGCATTTCCTTTAATTGAATTTCCTTTAATGATTATTGAGTTTAGTCGGGAGTCAGTGGTTTACAACTGTAATCTTAGCTACTCAGGAGGCTGAGATCTGAAGATTGCCGTTCAAAGCCAGCCTCGACAGGACATTCTAAGAAAGTCTTATCTCCAATTAACCACCAAAAAACCAGATATGGTGCTATGGCTCAAAGTGTAGACACTAGCCTAGGACACAAAAGTTCAGAAACAGCATGACAGGAACTGAGTTCAAGCCCAAGGACTAGTGTCCATCAAGTCACACAAAGCACACCCCCCCTCACACACACACACACACACACACACAGAGTTTAAACTCTGCTTATTACAAGTCAATATCTTCCTCAATATTGTACCTCTAAAATGTTGCATCATGACTGTCACAAACTTGATACAAACAATCAAATCTAAGTATTCATAATGAAATCATGTGCCTATTAATTTCTCTTCATGATTCTTTTAGACAGAAATCTTTATTTTGCTATTTGCAACAATGGCAAATGCATTTATCAGAGGGATTCATAGTAAGTTTTATCATAACATTTCTGTACTAATATAGATTAATGGTAACAAGAAATTTCGTGATGAATTCAAGTTAAGGTCTATAAGATCCTTTCAATTATTAAAGTAGGTTTAAGTTTTAGCCATTATGCTCAATATTAAAATATTTTAATTTGTTACTATTCTTTGGAAACACAATATTCATCTGCTTTAAAAGCTAAGGTAAAAAACATCCTACCCAAGAAGATCTTTTTAAAGGAATAAGCTTCTTTTGACTTGATTCAGGTGTGACAAAATACAAACTAGGACTACAATTAACTATGTGAATGAGCAATTTTATAGCTACTTATAAGCTTTAAAAATTGTAGAAAACTCAAAATTGCCTACAGGAAATAATAAATACACTTTAATGATCAGATAAGTTATATATAAAATAACAAATATACAGATTTCATTTTGATATAATCAAGGGGGTGGTACTGACATCATAACTAATATAAAAAAGTACTAAGAGAACACATAAATATCACATTCTGGTATATTTTATAAAAGATATGTGCTAAGAAGATGTATAGTTTTGGAAAACTATATTTGTTTATAAAGAAATTTGTTTATAAAGAAATTCAAGAGTACATATCTCTTGAATGAATGTAAGTGGGAAAATACACATGTGTTTGAGTATGTGAAGTAACATAGAAAGTAAACTGTTAGAATATATAAAAATGGAAAAGGTAGGATATATAAAAATAGAAAAGTAGATGATTCCTGATAAGCATTTTATGTGAAGTTTCTACTCCTTAGCTCATGGATTGGAAAAAAAAAACAACTATGCAACAGGTAGAAATTTACAGGTCAGAACTTTGTGCCAGATTTCTTGTATTAGCATCTTGTATTAATTTTTGTATTTTAAGTTATTTATTTGTGTTATGTGGATGATGATCTAATTATTCCAGGGGCAAAATTGGGAAGAATGTAAATGAAGTATTGAGAAAATATATCTCTATGAAGTGTCTTTGGACATGTATGAAGCCTGTCACTTTAAATTATAAATTGTATTCCAGGGTAGATGCTTCTTCAAAGCAAGACTATCTAACATGACCTGCCATGGTGCAGATTGCTTATAATGGTAGCCTCAAGACACATGTGACGATTGAGTACTTAAGATATAATCAGTTCTACTATGGGAAAGAATTCTTAATGCTAATTTTAATAGCCTCAAGTATTTTACTTGTTATTATATTAGTCATTTTGGGATAAAATTCACTACTATGTAAAATTAAATTGGACTTTTCCATTAAGTTACATATATAGAATACAATCACTTATTAGGAATAGAGTCTTTGTACAACATTCTGAAAATATGTTATTTTAAAATGAAGTGTGTTTTTAAAGAAGCAATTATTTTTGTTGGTCCTGAGGCTTGAACTCTGGGCCTGGGCACTGTCCCTCAGCTCTTCTGCTCAAGGCTAGTGCTCTACCACTTCAGTCGCAGTGCCACTTCCAGTTTTCTGGTAGTTTATTGGAGATAAGAGTCTCAGGGTCTTTCCTGTCTAGGCTGGCTTTTAACTGTGATCTTCAGCCTACTGAGTAGCTAGGATTACAAGCGTGAGCCACTGGATCCCTTCCAATAAAAAAATAATTCTATAACTTCTCCTAAAAGGAAAGCTTAATGAACTTTAAAGAAATTTCTGATTTGCCTTTGAAATGCATAATAACTTCAAATAAAACATATCTTCTGGCATAATATCAGCATTACTAAAATGTGTTTTCATTTGATTTTTCCTTGAAAGATTATCATTAAATGACAAAAAGCTCACTAGTGTATTTTAATTAAGTTTAAAATACAAGTGCTCTGAAATGTCTTTCAGATTTCGAATGTGTGATAATCCTAATGCAACCATGTGTTGTATCTAAAGTACTGGGGTATTTGTGTGACCTCATGGACAAAGTGTTCTGAGTGCCTATTAAAAATAATGAGAATGGAATACCAAGATTATCCCTACGCATGCAGAGAACCATGACATGGGTGACATTAACAAAGTGCACTTTGACTTTCAGAAAGGTTCTGTCATGAATGTGGCATGTATGCTGTGTGAAAAGATAGGTAATAGAAAAAGAAAGCACAGAAACAGGCTCTGATTCATCCAAAAACTTTAGTAAATTTTAAAATTTGAAAGTAAGTAGGCCAACCATAATAATTTCTTTTAAAGTACCCTATCTTGCAGACTAGAGTGAGAATTTAATTAATATTAATTTGCTCTACTTTTGTTGAATAGACAAGAATAGCAAAATCACAGTTTATTCTAACTAGGGTAAGTATGAAATGTACATGAAAAGTTTAAATAGCAAAGGGAAAGAAGGGAGAAAAATATAGAGAATTGTTCTTGGGAAAATTAGGTCAGTTGTGAATGAATATGTTCTGCTATTATATCAGCTACCTGAAATTAAATTCAATGTTGGAAAAATGTATCAAATGTATAAAATATGTAATATGAAAGATCATATAACATAAAATATACTAGGTTTAAAAATTTTGATTAAGACATAAATTTATACTTAGAATTATTTTGTGATTTTAGGTATGATTTGGCAAAAGAAAAATTATTATTCTATATTTAAAATATTTGGAAAATGAATTTCAGAGATGGTCATATGGCTAGCAAATCATATGGTTTGAAACTAGATATCAGTTTGTGATTCTTAGAATTGATTAACAGATTGACAAAAAGAAGTAGAGCCTTGAGTGAAGAGGTCAGAGAAAGCTCATATGATATCAGAAGAAGAGTGAGAGGAGAAGAGAGAAGAAAAGGTGCAATGAGAGAATGAGGTTCTTACTAAGTACTTTTGCTCTGTAAAATATCTATGTGAACTTAAGGTTAATTTTCAGCTTTAAAAAAGACATTGTGTTCCAAAAAATGAGGGAATGGGTCACAATGTTCAACAAGAAATGCAATCATTACCTTACATATATAACTGTAATCCCTCTATACATCACTTTGACAATAAAATTAAACTAAAAAATATATTATGATGCCTTATAATGAAGATAAATCTATTAGAGTTCTTGAAAAAAATCAGGACAGGAAATATTTTATCTACTTCAGATAAAGTCATCCAAGGAATACCCTCCATCATATTTTGATATAATTTCCCCTAAATTTGGACTAGTCCAAATGCAAGACACTGTCTCAAAATTAACTTAAACAAAAAAGGACTGGAAGCATGATTCAAGTGCCAGTTCCTGAGTTCAAATCCCAATATTGACATTTACCTTTTCACTTTTATAAGTACTTGATTTTATATAATTTAAAGTCCATCATGTACAGATTAACATTTTTGATCTACACTTAAAAACAAGAAAGAGGCAAATTAATTGCTAATGACTATTAAGTCCCTGAAAGCTAAGATTATTACAAAAGAGCACCACCAGTGGGGGGAAAATGACAACATAACATACACTGTCTTCATAAATAGATCCTTATTAATTCTGTCAAGACTAATTAGAATGAAAATGTGATACTAATAGGGTTAAGTTACTTTTGACTTCATTACAATGATCAAGAGTGCTAGTTAGTATTCACATTCCAATAATGCCTTATGCTAAATGTACCTGTTATTAATGGTCCCACATGGAACAATAGTTGTTCAGCATTTTATATGGCTCAATTCTAGAATTTATAAATTGATACTTAGAAAAACAAATGTCTAGCCGGACGCAGGTGGCTCACTCCTTTAATCCTAGCTACTCAGGAGGCTGAGATCTGAGGATCGCCGTTCAAAGCCAGCCTGGGCAGGAAAGACCTTAAAACTCCTATCTCCAATAAACCACTAGAAAACTAGAAGAGGCACTGTAGCTCAAGCGGTAGAGCATTCGCCTTGAGCTGAAGAGCTGAGGGACAGTGTCCAGGCCCAGAGTTCAAGCCCTACAACGAACAAAAGAAAAAAGAAAAACAAATGTCTTTCCAGATATGATCAGTTTATTTATAACATACCCCTATTAGTTACCAACTAATTTTTAGGTGCAGATTTAGACTATTATTCCATTGCTTACCATATCTAAGTAAGTATCAGTTTGATGCTTGATTTGATGACTGTTAAACATTTAAATACTGATAAAATATATTGGGGATATATTTGATATAAAACTGCAATTAGAACATAGAGTTGAAGCCGGGCATTTATGGCTGACGCAGGCAGAAAAGTCCTTGAGACTCTTATCTCCAATAAACCACTAGGAAACCAGAAGTGGCACTGTGGCTCAAGAGGTAGAGTGCTTGCCTTCACCTGAAGAGCTCAGGGACAGCACAGAAGCCCAGAATTCAAGCCCCCATGACCGACTGAAAAAAAAAAAGAACATGGAGTTGACTTGTTCAGATCAGCTTGAT